CTAAAAACATCTCCTAGCGTTTTTTCCAGATTAATGACTATAGCCATGTCGGGAATTAACTATAAACAAGCATTTATTTATTTAGATGATTGCGTAGTAATTGGAAAATCTATGGAAAATCATAACAAAAATCTCATCACTGTTTTAGAACGATTACGCCAAGTGAATTTAAAATTAAATCCAATAAAATGCGAATTTTTGCGCACGGAAATTGTTTATTTAGGTCACAAAATCACGCCACAAGGTATTCTTTTTTAAAAAATTATAAATAACTTGAAAAAATCGAACTGCCTAAGGCGGGAATTGAACCCGTTTGAGATGCGACTCTAAACGCTAAAAATTTAATAACAAGGTATTCTTCCTGACGACAGCAAAATAGAAACATTACGCAAGTATCCGATTCCATCAAGCGCTGATGACGTCAAGCGCTACCTAGCCTTTGCTAACTATTACAGAAGGTTTATACCTAACTTTGCAAATACAGGGTCCTTCTAAACTAGCTACATTCCTTTTAATGGGGGCATCTATACGGTACACTGAACAAGTTCACCAAATTTGAGTATGTGTTTTATAATGATTTTACAAAGTTACATTTTCTAACAAAAATAAAAATTCATTTCGTCTTACATAATGGAACATGCTGTATTTTTTACTCACACAACAAAGCTGTAGTGTATTTATTCATTCTGCACAGGAACACGAGACACAATACACACAACGCTCACTACCACTGCACACTTTTTTGTTGTTTACACTCACGTCATAACAACTCACAGCAGTCGTCACAGCTGATAGCCGATTAGCTGATCGACTGATTGGGCGAGCTATCACTTCAATGTTGCAGGCCTACTCTCATATCGTTGTCTATCCTTATTATCTTATGTTAATCACAGTAAAACGGACTCACGATACCATCGAAAAATCAATCAGCAAAGGCCATGATTTTTAAGGCGCGTCTTAGTAAATTTATTTGCATTTGTGCATCTGTGCGTCATAGTTCACTTCACGAGCACTACAAAACGCACCTTCACACAAGAAAGCTAATCAAAAACTGAATTAAATCAAAGCGCACGCGCCGACAAATGCCGACAAGCCGCAAGCCTTTTTTTTACACAAAGTGTACATTGCGCTAGCGCAATGTACCTACACTCACCGGCTAGCCGGCGGCCGGCGGCACGTGTCTAAAGGCGGCGGCAAGTTCGTTTGCTGCGCCGGCTAGTGTTGTACGATACGACACTCGAGTCTTGGAATCTTACTTATTAAAAGTTTGAAGAAAATAAAATAGCAATGAATTAAGACTGTGTGTTTATTATTTTATTGGACCGTTTTAACTTTTTGATTACGAAAATCGTCAGTCTTTAAATGGATACTTCTGATTCGATTTTATTTGCGTTTAATGCAATTCTATTGATATTACATTTTTATTGTGCGATTTATTTTATTTTCAATTAGGATATAACATACGGATGATGATATGAAATCACTCATTATTGCCTATTAGTATACACCAACTCAAGTTCATGTCATGATTCAGTCTAGCTCAAAGAACTTAAAATACTCGAAAGGACTCGGAAGACTCAATTATTCCCTTATTCATGTGACTAACGAGTCCTAGTCTAAAAAATAAACTCAAGTCTCGAAATAAAGACTTTAAAGACTCGAGCTTCTTACAACACTAGCGCGGTCGGCTATTGGTGGCTATTGTGAGGGACGGCTGTCTTTGATACCACCGACTCCGCCACGCATAAATAAGGATGTCAACTCAAAATTCTTTCTAATCTTACCAATAATAAAACTATCATTATTTACTTTCATTTTTTTTTTGTTTCTACGATGATTTTAATGATTATTATTTCAGTTTAAAATTGATAGTTGGGAACAATTATTTACTTATTTACTTCGGAATACTAAAGACTGCCGATAATCACAGGTAGATAATTCGATAGCGTTTAGTTTCTGCTATGATCGAGTCAATTACGAATCACATTTTTAATTTGCTAAGGGGATATTAAGCGATTAAAATGAACATGAAAAATGTGCCTGATTTATCGTAATAATAACCGTAATTCTAAATTTCATAGTCATGGTAACTATCCCATTTGTGTATGGCATAAAAATAAGTCATTGATTTCAGCAACTAACTTTTTTGCTTCGTTTCGTTGCTACGTTTGAAATAAAAGATTTTTGCAAGCGCAAAGGTATTTTAACGAACTTTTCAATAAACATCATTCCATTAAGGCCACTAAATAAGTACTTACCACATAAGATTTTTTTATGTTACCAAATAAAATAAACTTTAATTTTCTGCTTAATTTAATTCCTTAAATAACTAGTAGTAGCCCTAGAATAGCTTGTGTGGCGCCGCCCGCCGCGGCGGTCCGTCGTCCGGCGGCACTCTTGTGTTCGCGGCCAGTGGCCCAACGGCAGCACAAGCGCAATGGCGGCCATTACGTAAGCTCGTGTGCGTGCGGATTTTTGTTAGTGTAGTAGCGTAGTAGTGAATCAGCTGAACAGGGTGTTGTATTGGGTTGATAAGAAATGAAGTTGTTTCCTTAATTATCTCAGAAACTAGCCTGAATTTTTGGCTCAAACTTTGGGAACGTATTCAGTGAGACGTATACATGCTCCCATTAAACGGAACGTAGCTGATTTAGAAGGACCCTATATAGCTTATCCATTAAACAAATTATGCAAAAAGAATACACAATTTGAATGGACATCGGAATGCGAGCAATCATTTCAAGGTTTAAAATCAACTTTAATGTCACCACCAGTGTTACAGTATCCAGATTTTTCAGAAACTAATATTTTTGAATTATGTACAGACGCATGTAAAACAGGTTTGGGTGCCGTCTTATCGAATTCAAATGGTCACGTAGTCGCTTATGCAAGTCGGAACCTATCACCCGCTGAAAGTCGATATCCTATAATTGATTTAGAATTACTTGCGATAGTATGGGCCGTACGACATTTTAGACCGTATTTGTACGGCAGAAGATTCAAAATTTATACAGACCATAAACCGTTAGTATACTTATTTAGTTTAAAGGATCCAAACAGTAGGTTAACAAAGTTTAGACTTTATTTGGAGGAGTATGACTTTGAGATTGTGTACATCCCGGGTCGAAATAATGTAGCTGCAGATGCATTGAGTCGACTCCCGATGTCAATTACGTGTAAAGATTTAAAATCACTCGAAGAACAAGTTGTGTCAGTATTGACTCGAGCACAAACTAAAAAACAAGAGACTAAAAACTCGGATTTGACTAGAGAGTCTTCTATTAGTCGCGGGCCTGATCAACCTAAGACTGTAGAGATTCTAAAAAAACCCAAGGATGTGATAGAATTAATTTTCACTAGTTTTCACTAGTGAAATAAAAGTTAATAACTCGGATTGTCTTTATTCTGATAGAAAGAATTATGTTTATGTACCCACGCATAGTGCTATATTCCTAGATACTCGATCGTTATCTACCCCGCAGGAGTTAGCGAGAGATTTAGGGTCACTTTGCGAAAAAGTAAATATAAATGAATTGTTGATAATTAAAAATAAACAAAATGCAACAAATATAAAAATACTTGCAAGTTATATTAAAAAAATGAATGAAAGGGTACCAAAAATTTTTATTACAAGAGATGTTATACGAATTAACGAATATGAAGATAAGAAAATTATATTAAACGATTTTCATTTATTACCAACTAGCGGACATGCAGGTATAAATAGAATGTTGAATAATTTAAAACAATATTACTATTGGCCAGGAATGACTAATGACGTCATTAATTACGTCAAAAAATGTAGCCAATGTCAATTTAATAAATTTTCTAATCATACTATTAAAGAACCAATGGTTATTACAAATACTGCATGCTCAGCTTTTGAAAGGATATTCTTAGATATCATGGGACCATTGCCACAGGATATAAATAATAATAAATACATCTTAACCTTGCAATGTGATTTATCTAAATTTGTCGAAGCGTATCCATTACAAAGTAAAGATTCAGAATCTGTAGCAAGAGTGTTAGTGTCAAATTGTATTTTGAGATATGGTGTTCCTAAGGAAATCATTACAGATAGAGGTACAGAATTTATGTCTAATATTATGACAGATATTTGCAAAATATTACAAATTGAACGTTTAAATTCAACAGCTTATCATCACGAAACAATAGGTTCTTTAGAAAATAGTCATAAGTCATTAGGTGTTTATCTTCGAATTCAGTGTGATAGAAATCTCATTGATTGGAGTGATTGGCTACCGTTTTGGACATTTTCTTATAATACGACAGTGCACACACAAACAAAATACACTCCTTTTGAATTAGTGTTTGGTAAACTCTGTAAATTGCCTTCAAATTTAGGTATCACAGTCGAACCATTGTATAATTATGATAACTATCCTAAAGAGATGAAATATCGTTTACAAAAAGCGCAGTATGAAGCTAAAAACAATTTACTTTCGAGTAAATCCAAAAGAAAAATGTTGTACGATCGAAACACTTATCCTGTAACTTATAAAAAAGGAGACCTTATTTTAACAAAGAATCAAACTGGAGATAAGCTCCAAAATGTTTATAACGGTCCTTATGAAGTTATTGAGGAAGTTTCACCTAATGTTAAAATTTTAAAGGATGGTAAAGAATACCTTATCCATAAAAATAATACGAAAATGTAATACTTATTTTTTTTTATATATAAATTGTTATTTTTAATTGTAATTAATAATAATAACAATAAGTGAATCATTGTGATGCTACATGACTTAATTACGTAAAATTTTAACATTGATAGAATGTTTTATTTTTTCTTCCTTCAGAAGGGGAGGGATAGTAGGACTTTTTCCGGGGAGTTGTAGTATGTACCTACGGAAGTGTAATTAGGTCATGTTGCAGTTTACGTCAATCGCGATGTGCAAGTATGCAAAATAGCATTAAGTGGTTTTATATTATAATGTAAGTTTTTGGCATTCAATAAATGGACTTCAAAGAGTAAACTATGTTCTAATTGAACCTCTTACACGACCCTCAAACACCGAACACATTACATCTGACAGTTTGTTTTGTTTCTTCTTACGCGACGCTGCTACGTAGTTTTCTTTTGTGTAACGACTGTAGAATGACACTATTATTGGCTTTTCAATCTTAGGGACTCTAGTTGGGACACGTGCTATATAGTTGATATCTTCTTTTTTTATAGCGTAGTCGTTAAAATTGCCAATTTTTTGAACAATTTCGTATAAGTTTTCTGATTTTCCTTGTGGAATTCCCCTAATTTCGATATTGTTGGCTCGATCTCTCTGGTCTCTGTCCTGTAACTCAAGGTTGAGTCTATTCACCTCAGAGCGCAACGTAGGAACCTCATTTGCAACTTTCTCAAGGCTCACAATTTTCGCATCCAGGCTTTTGACCTTATCTGAGAAGCTGTTAATCAGCTCGTGCGCCAGTTCCAGTGAGTCCTTAACGTTAGTCAACTCATTTTTTATCTGCTTGATGTCTTCAACGAGTGATGCCAGTGGAACTAGTTGAGTAGTTATCCTCTTGAGTTGTTCTTGCATCTGATCCAGTTGGCTTGATGATTGTTGCAATGAGGACGTAGCTGGTGATGGAGACGAGCTTGATTTGCATTTTAGGCAACGCCAGGTGTTTTTCCGGTCACCAAGTTTGCGATAGCCCGATTCTGTAATTCCAGAGCACTGAAAGTCATAGTGGCGTCGGCAGGCGCTGCATGTAGGTCCGTCAGTATGTTGCACTCCACAGCTTGCACACGTAAACATTTTGTCAAAAAGTTTGAGAAACACTGGATTGTCGAGTAGAGTAAACAAGCGTCTGTCCACGAAAGCGACTGAGCGCAGACTGAGACTATCCACCCAAGTTTTGTCTGTTGGGCAATAGGTGCTTGATGTGGGCCCTTGATCAGTCCGTTCATGATGATGTCGGAGTAGATACTCGCATCCAGAAGAAGATCAATAGATTTTGATATGTTGTAGACGTAGTCAGGATCGGCGAGATTTATGTGTTGGAGATGTGGCCATGATTGTTTACTGAATGAGTTATTTGGTAAATTTTGATATGATTAAAGCTTGGGTTGTGAAGCTGTAGTCCTCGTACAGTGATTGGCAGTCCATAGTGACATAGCTGGGCATTAACTCGTTAATCCGTTAATCGTTAATTAACGAAGTTAACATTTCTATTAACGGATTAACTTTTAAGTTAACTTTAAAAAATGTTAACGGACTCGTTAACTTTCGTTAAATTATCCTAAGTCCGTTAATCGTTAATCCAGTATTTATTTATTTATTTATTAATGCAAAACACTTGTAAGCTTACAGAGCAGGTCCAAAGCGCTTACAAGCTTAAAAATAGAATAAACATATCATAGGTACACTTAGGTCACATATAAAATAGGTACATGCAGTTTATAAATTAAATGGTCCATAATGTTCTAATTTTAAGAACATAATGGATGCAATAAAATATTGAGTATTGAACATTAAATAATTTAAAGAAACACTGAACAAGAGAAAAAAAATGTCAGTGGTCAAATAAATAATTCCTAAAAAAGATTTTATTGCTTTAATGGATTAAACATCAAGTAAGTTTCGTCACGTTTGCACATTGAAACGGCATGAGTACTTTACATATTGCTTCAAATTACGTTTTGATAGAATTTCCACATGTCTGTAGTATAATTTAAACTTTGGCACGTAGAATCATCAGTTTACTGACATCCTCGAAAGAATGCGGTCAAGCCTAAGGAACAGAAATGAAATTTCTGAAACAAAAAGAATCATTAAAATTACGATGTATCTGTCCTGTGGTATCAAATAGCCCAAAGCGACATGGGAACCTTTTACCTAATACCATACGCAGCCTTATTTGCGGCCCATCTAATTGTGGAAAGACCAATTTAGTAATAAGCTTATTATTACATAAGGATGGTCCACGTTTTCAAAACCTCTATGTGTATTCTAAATCTTTGTATCAACCTAAATATATATTTTTAGAAAAAGTATTGGCTATGGTTTCAGGCATATCTTACTATAAATACAATCATAACAGTGAAATTTTAAGTCCACACGAAGCTCTACCTGACTCAATAATTGTATTCGACGATGTGGCCTGTGAAAATCAAAATAATATTCGTGATTATTTCGCAATGGGACGACACAAAAATATAGATTGTTTTTATATCAATCAAACTTATACTAAAATACCCAAGCAACTTGTAAGGGATAACTCTAACCTTATAATATTATTTAAACAAGATGATATCAATGGAATTGGGAAAGAAGTACCGAGTTTGAAGCGTTCATGAGCAGACATTGCAGTTGAATATTCAAGTTCTGAATTTGATTATTGATGAATAATAAAATAAATCGTACTAGCTCGATTGATGGTTTCATTTAATTTATTTAAACCAGGTTATCTTTAATAATATTTTTCGTTAATTTATGAAAATATCAAATTAGCCCGTAATCCTGAATCCTGATACATAAATTTAGCCTATTAATTTAACACATGTACGACTGTACTCAGTGTTGCACTATCAAATGCAATTGAAGCGCCTCTGTGCCAGGGTTTTTATGTTCCTGGTCAGGCTATACACCCACAACACCTCGATCACAACATCTCTTGAATTTCTGTTTAGCAATTGAGATATTCAAATATTTGGCTTCGAAACGGTCAGTGTACGCCGAAGCGAAGGTGTGGTTCATGAATAACGCAGTGTCGCCGCCTTTGCCGTGTCGGGCTGTAATAACGGCAAATTCTTTTTACATCTCCAGATACGTGGTTGCAGAACGTTCTGGATTTTCGATTGTGCTGGCATTGCTGAAGTCTAGTCTGAGTGCTCACTGGAAAATGCTTTGTTTGCATAATGCACGTGGGCGGAGCATTGCTAGTGACTGAAAAATTGATTGATGACGACCTAGCCTGGTGGTTTTCTTATTCGACTACTATGAGGGTGACAAAGATTACTGAGTTTCTTCCGCCATTTCTTCTCAGCACCATCCCCATATGTTGTCCCGAAATGGTAGCAGGGCAAGCTATATTTGGGACGCCGCTTAAGCGCCTTGGAAAGGGCCTATGTACTAAATAAACTATTTTATTTGATTGGATAAGGATAAAATAATAATATTATTATGCCAGTTGTCGTGCATTCCGTTTCAGCATTACCTATATACAAACTTAAGAGTACTGGCAGCTCATACCTATCTGGTACTGTATATTTATACGCATTTACAAAAACTAAATAAGTAGGTTTATAATCTGTGGTCTGATACTGTATACCTCTACTATTTGGCGCATATCCGAAATTTTGGCGCATTTATTTATTAATTTGTACCGATTTTGATACTAAGGCCGGGTTGCATCATCTTACTTTGACTGTAACAAACGTCAAAAATCTGTCAAATTCCATACAAAAATCACCGGTTATTGGTATAGTTACGGACAAAGTTTGGTGGTGCAACTCAGCCTAATTCATTTTGCCACTTACGAGAAAACAATAAAAAAATGTTTTTCTCGTTCCCATCGCCACAGCACAGTATTTAATTTCAGTTAAAATGCATAACAATTCAAACACAACTTTGTGAACGAACACTTTGCAGACAAAAGCTACGAGAACTAAGGACTACTTTACATTGAGCTGTATAATTTATGACGAATTTTTCACTTTTAATTTTAAATGCTTTTACGAAATGTAATTTGAAATTGACGCTTTCTTTATGTAAATTGTTTGTTTTCACACTACCTCAGTGGACCGACGATCTTTTGAAGATCGTAGGAAGTGGGATACGGGCCGCGTAGGGCGTTTTGGAAATCTGGTATCTGGTGAGGCCTAAAAAATAAGGATACATGTAGAGCCCCATAAGAGCTATGATTTTTAATTGTTTATTTTGAAGTGCCAAAATATTGGTCAAAGCTTAATAAATATCATTTCATTTTTATTTCCAACTCGCGACCTTTTACGGCATTAGGTAGTAGGTAACATTTGTAAGTTTCTAGAGTGGAATATTTACATGCTTTTGAAGCTTTTGAGGCTTTTGATGGCAATTGATTCTATATCAGAAAGTAGTATACATTTTCTTTCAAAGAATGGGGATGTTGCCTGGGTCAAAAAGCAAGAGTTTTAATTAGTCCGTCAGTTAACTTATCAAAAAATACTCTACACGTATTTTTCACTTTTTCAAACTAATGAAAATTTAAAGAGATAAAGCGCCCCAAAGTTCATAAGAAGAGGCCCGTGACGTCAACGCTTGCTTAAAAATGCCGCACGATGTGACGTCGTGCGCAACTTCAACGCACCATAACTATGTAATTATTTGTTAGATTGACAAACAAAAATATACGTGTCCAATATTTTTTGATATTAAACATTACGGACTAAAAAAATTTTTTTAGGCAACTAGCCTATAGTAGGTAATACCTGTATCAGTCTAGATACTATATATTGATTTTCTTGTGAACATAAACATCAAAATGAATATGCAAAACATGGTGCTCTAGACGTGTTTCGCTGTAAGTCATCCACGAGGTTCACTGTCTNTATGCGGTCTAAAACCTATAGAAAGTTGTCAGCCATATTTTAAATCACTGAAGTTATTAACTTTTCCATGTATATATATTTTTGAACTGTGTGTATTCGTAAAATCTAATCCAGATTTGTTTAAAAAAAAAGATCACATACCTAACCTTCGCCCTAGAAAACCCGAACTTTGCACAAATAATAAATGTAAAACCGCACTAATGCGTAAAAATGTCACAGAAATGGCTCCAAAGGTTTACAACAAACTCCCAGAATCCTTGAAGCAATTTAATTTAAATAAATTTAAAATTATTTTATCAAAAATGTTAATAGATAAATGTTATTATAATATGAATGAATATTTTAATGATAGAGAATTGTAACCATTAATATAAATGTGATTGTATAATATGTAATTTTTTAACTTTTATTGTGTTTATGACATTGTTTTATTATTATTATTATTTTATTTTTTACTAATCTATTATGTTTAAATGTAATGTAGAATGTTTATTCAATTATAATATGACTGCGATTGATCTGACATTATTTAAGTGAAAATTATTTTTTATGTAAATTAAATTTGATAAGTTTGATTTATAATTTTGCATGCCAAAAGGTGGAAGATGGAGATACTAAAATACTTGTAATACCTACATTTACCCATGTTCGCAAAATAAATATATTTGATTTGATTTGATTTGATTTGATTTGTAGTTACTCGTAGTAGTAACAGATATTAGAACGTCTGATATATTTTTACCTATAGAGGTGGCGATTTGTATTCTTTGTATGGCAGGCGGCCCTTTGAATCCTGTACATACCTACTGATAATCTGGTAATTTTACTGTACAAGAAAGACCTCTAAATGTAGAATTAAGGACATCATAGGCTATAAAATATATTTTATATTGGCGAAAAAATATAATCAAGATATAATTTAGCAACTTGACTTACTTATAATGTAGCAAAATTGTTAATTATTAAAAATGTACTGTTTTTTAATAACAAGCAATTAATACTTACTTAGTTGATAAAACGAAGATTCGCGAGCTCGAAGCGCGAAGCACAAAGCGAATGTTTCAAAAGCGTCAAAGTCCGTTTTCCCAACGCAGTCTGCATTTATTTCGAGTTGATGAAACGACATTTCAAGTACGCATTATCAGAGAATACAGCAAAGCAGTGCTGAACTACTGAACAAGTTCGAATTTGGCAAGAAGACGACAAATTTTCATTGCAGAAGCGGCA